AAGGAAGGAAGGAAGGAAGGAAGGAAGGAAGGAAGGAAGGAAGGAAGGACCTCATCTATGAAATCAACCAAGCATTCAAGGAAATCCAAGTATCAATTCTGTAGACAGAGACTGCTTGTTCATTTCCTGGCTGTCCTGACCCAAATAATCACACAGAAACTATATTAACTAAATTGTTTGGAAGGAAGGAAGGAAGGAAGGAAGGAAGGAAGGAAGGAAGGAAGGAAGGAAGAAAGGAAAGCAAACCATAAAAAAACCAACTCTAAAAAGACACCCTAGCAGTTGATCCCAGGGAACTGCCTTGGCAGGGCCAGGAACATTCATTCCTGTTCTTGCCCTGCACAGTGGATGCTCCCGACTGTGTGGGACATCAGGACTAGCACTTGGAATGCACTTACTGCTTTGGCAGTGAGGAAGTCACCTCTAGAGTAGAAGCTATATGGTTCCATCTAACAAAACTAGAAGCAAGACCCGAAAGGATCAAACACTTCACAGTCACTTACTGCATCTCTGAACAAAGCCTGGGCATGCTTAATGGAATGCAAACTCCACCACACAACAGAGCTCGCAGTGTGCGCCACTCAATTAAAAAATTACAAGGCAAACAAGCAGAAATCTTGGCTCGCGATGAGAAGAGAAATGAATGAAAGAGACCCAGAAGTGACACAGATGATAGAATTTGCCGCCAAGACATTAAAAAGTTATTCTGACCATACCCTAAAAAGCAAGATAGATGACTGTGTGTGTTGGATAAAAATGAAGGTTCAAAGAATGGATCCTGGTGCTGGTTATGAAAACTATAATATCTGCCATGGACAAAAGGGAGATTAGACACTGCAAAAGAAAAGATTGACAAAGTGGAAAACACAACAATAGAAACTATCCATAGTGAAACACGTACACACAAACACACACACACAAGAGAGAGAGGGGGAGAGAGAAAGGGAGAGGGAGGGAGAGAAAGAGAGAGAGAGAGAGAGAGAGAGAGAGAGAGAGAGAGAGAGAATGTACACATTAGCTATAGGAAGGAAGAGCGAAGCTGTTAAGAAAACTTCAGTCCCAGATGACCCAGATTTCATCTATGAAATCAACCAAGCATTCAAGGAAATCCAAGTATCAATTCTGTAGACAGAGACTGCTCTTTCATTTCCTGGCTGCCCTGACCCAAATAATCACACAGAAACTACATTAACTACAAGATTGTTTGGCCTATTAGCTTAGGCTTCTTATTAACTAACTCTTACATCTTAAATTAACCCATTTCTATTCATCTGTGTATTGCCACGAGGCTGTGGCTTACCGGAAAGGTTCCAGAAGAGACATCTTTCTCCTCTGGCAGCCACATGGCATCTTCCTGATGCCTACTCTCTGTCTATATCTCTTCCAGTCTGACTATCTGCCCTGCTATAGATCAAAGAAGCTTTTTTATTAACCAATGGTGATAAACCATATTCATAGAATACAGAGGGGAATCCCACATCATCTCCCCTTTTCTGTCTAAATAAAAAGGAAGGTTTTAACTTTCACATAGTAAAATTACATATAACAAAATAGGTATCAAGCAAGAATTACAGTTGCTTTATGAGTCTAAAGTTTCATATCTAATTTATCTTTTATCACAACTAAGGAAAGCTATAACTATCTGTCTTTAACTCCACCAAAGACCCCAGAAGGATATAATATTACATAGGTAAACAGGAAGTGCATTGTAGGCAACTTCCAAAGTTCTAGAATTGGCAGAAACATCTCGCTACCTGGACAATCACCCAAAGTTATTCTGTAACATTGGGGCATCCATCTTCAGTCTACATGCCCTAGTTTCTGGTAGACATTTTCATAAAGTAGGCAATTTGAAGATCTGTTTTGCCTATATTGGCAGTTTGTCAGTCAGTCACTTTCTTCTGTGTCCTGAAGAATGCCTGGCAGACTCATTCATGAAACAGGAACCCTGAAGGACTGTCTCACCTTCTGTAGGCAAGTTCAACAGTCATTTCTCTGTGGTCCTGCATGTCCACTTCATACAGCATACCATTAAGCAGTCCAAGCAAGAGCAGTTTCTTGCCCAGATGGCTAGCTAACTCCATAAGGAGTCTCTTCGATGCCTATCATCCTCTTGAAGTGATTGATGCTGCCAGAAGCAGATGTATCTCACTGTCATGAGAAGTCTAAGTTCTTAAAACATTTTAAATGCCATATTCTGTAGGTATTCGGAGTGTTGAAAATTATCTATCTAACTGAAATATATCTCTATATATCTAGAAAACCTAATTAACATGACTACAAGTTTGACTATTATAGATGACTATCTATTAATCTGTATTTTTAATTATACATTATATTTTTAAATGAGCTGCATAAACATAACACCTTAAAGAAGCGTAGAAATATATATGTATACATACAGAGTGTAACAAAATTGACCTTAAATTTGTATCAATAGACCAAGATCCATACCAATGCAAATTAGTCATCTCTATATCATATCCCCCTTTAAATGAAAACAAACATCTATAAACAATCATTTTGGGAATTTGGGTGTAGTTTTCTTCAAACTGATTCCTGCTGTTTGTTGGGCAAAGTATTTTTTGGGTTCAGGGAAACCTTTCGAGGGGACTTGTTCCATCAGACCACATTAGCCTGGAAGGAATCCACAGGTTCTCATCTTCTGTGGAAACAAAAGTAGAACCTCTTTCCCAAAGCAACATATTCTTAGACCCAATTTTTGAAATCAAGATACCTTCATGTTGATTTAACTTCGCAGCTCCCAGAATCAAATGTCTCTCTGCAGTCAAAAAATTTAAAGAAAACACAATAATATACATAATCCAGACTCTCTGTGTATTTTCCATCTTTATGTGGCTTATTTTTTATTCCTTTATGTTGCAAATAGGAGCAGCAGGCTGCGTCCCACCACCCCTGCCTGGATCCCAGCTTCCCGGCTAGTTTACACCCGAAATAATTACACGGAAACTGTATTCTTTTAAACACTGCCTGGCCCATTACCTTCAGCCTCTTATTGGCTAACTCTCACATCTTGATTAACCCATATCTAATAATCTGTATGCCACCATGAGATCGTGGCTTACCAGGAAAGATGCAGCATGTCTGAGCTGGCAGCTTCATGGTGGGCAGCTCTCTGACTCTGCTTTCTTCCTCCCAGAATTCAGTTCTGTCTTCCCCGCCTACCTATGTTCTGACCTATCGGGCCAGGCAGTTTTCTTTATTAATTAGCCAATGAAAGCAACAGATAGATAGAAGACCCTTCCACATCACCTTTAATTTATGATTGTCTGTACTCTTTTGTATTACTTTTCCTGTCTCTTTAAACACTTTACTTCTTTTTATAACTGTCTATACTCTTTTTCCTCTCTCCCCCAAGCCTATGTACATTTTTAAACACACTGTGTCTCGTTTAGAGGTCTTTTATGTCTGAATCTGTCCAATTGTGTGTCTGACATCCTTTTCTGATAAGCAGTATTTTAGAATGGTAAGCAGTGTGGTTGCAGCAGCCCTAGATGCTGGCTCCACCTCTCTTGGCCTTTCAATATGGTGGAGGTACGTTTACTGCCAGCTCTAGGACTGCTGGGTGGGAACCCTGCTCACCACTTCAACTCAGGAAAACACTTTACAGCACATAAACCCTTTTTGTCTGAGTAAAAGCTAAATCTGCCATGCAGCGTGCTGCGTAGCCTAGAAATGTCTCCGTGTATGGCAGCAGGAATCCGCCATACTTTCCTCCTGTGCACACCTAGCAGACCAGATCCAGTTGCTTTCCCAGGTGGGAGTGGTGAGCAGTAGGCATGCTCTCAGCCACTTTCCTCTTAACCCCAAGTGGGCATACAAGCACCTGGATCCGAAGTATGTGGCTGGCCATGGGGGTTAGCCCCAAACATATGGGTGCCATTTTGTAGAAGGAGACTGCTCATTCTTTTCCTGGCTGCCCTGAACCAAATAATCACACAGAAGCTATATTAATTACAACACTGTTTGACCTGTTAGCTCAGGCTTCTTATTAACTAACTCCTACATCTTACATTAACCCATTTCTATTAATCTGCATATTGTCATGAGGTTGTGGCTTACAGGAAAGGTTTCAGCAGTGATTCTCCTTTGGCAGCTACGTGGCATCTCCCTGATTCCATCTTCTCTCTCTCTCTCTCTCTCTCTCTCTCTCTCTCTCTCTCTCTCTCTCTTCCAGCCTGGCTATATTCTTCCCTGATAGACGCTGAAGCAGATTCTTTATTAACCAATGGTAATAAAGTATATTCATAACATACAGAGGAGAGTTCCACATCACAATTCTCCAGGAAAACTTCCAGGAAACCAAAAAAAGAGAGAACATTTCCTCATTTCACAAGGCAAGAATCATTCTAAGATCAAAGTCAGACAAGGATATTTTAGATACAAAAACTAGCATCCTCTTAATAGAATTTTAGACAATTAAACTGTTTACCAAGAGTATGAGGCATTAGGACAAACTAATATTTTCCCACTGGAATGCAAGGTTAGTTTAACTGTCGACATATGCAATTCACTGTATAAATAAACTCAAAGGGCTAGGCAGTGGTGGCGCACACCTTTAGTCCCAGCACTCAGGAGGCAGAGGCAGGCAGATTGCTGTGAGTTTAGTGCCAGCTTGATCTACAGAATGAGCTTCAGTACATTCAGGGCTACACAGAGAAACCTTGTCTTGAAATATGTATACAAACTAACTAAAAGGAAGCTTTTTGATCATCATTCTAGCACATAAAAATAATTTCCCCAAACCTAACATCAATGCCTAATAAAAGTTCACAGCAAGCTGGGACAAGAAGGTAACTCCAACAGCTCAATAGGAATGCTGTTAGAGGCATCTAAGAGAAACTGTAGCCAGCACACTCTGTGGCAAAGACTAGGTGGTTTTCTCATGGACCAGTACTAAGAAGAGGCATCACCGTTCCCAGCTAACATCATGCTGGAAGTTCTAACCAGTGTAACAATATGGAAAAAGGAAATAAAGAGACCCATCTTGAAAAGGAGGAAGCAAAACTGTCTTTGTGGCAGATGTCATCATTATTTACAAGGATAACTTAAAGAATCTATATTTAAAAAGTCACTGGAACTAATTAGGTTTAAAAATTAATATTCAAAACTGATTATATGCCTATATATGTAGCACTGAATAACCAGAAATTTAAATACAAAATAATCAATACCACTCATTTATAATCAGGTTGAAAGTATTAAATGCTTGCATATAAATCTGACACAATAAGGGAAAAGCCAACACATGAGACAGAAGAACATATGTGCAAAGAACCTGAAGAGGACCCAGATATGAGAAACACGACTGTCAGAGATCAATAGGAAAACTCAGATCAGGAAGATGTCAATTCTCCCCAAACTGATTATATACATAACTCCAATGAAAAGACTTAGCTGCCTTTTTTTTTATTGACTGACTAGAGTAATTAGGGTTAGGGAAATAGCTCAGTGAGTAAGAACACTGTTCTTCCAGAGGACCTGAGTCTTGTTCCCAGTATATATTTCAGATTGCTTACATCTATCTCCAGTTCCAGCTCCAGGAGAATACAATGCCTCTGGCCACCACAAGTACCTGCACTCCCGTGTATATAATCTCTCTCTCTCTCTCTCTCTCTCTCTCTCTCTCTCTCTCTCTCTCT